AATCTTTAAAGAACTAGGTTTAGAACTTAGATGCTCTGAACATTTCTCAATTTAGTCTGCATTGTTTTATCTCATGCTATCTAATCAATCTTTTTTTCTTGATGCCAATTTAAGACAAAAACATCCAAGCTTGTCTGACACAAAATCCTCTGTCTGAGAATCTGGGGCCATATTATAGTCTTCCCACTTACAGTTGATCCTGAACCCTGACCAGGGTTTGTTCTGAGTTGATGTGAAATGATATTAAAGATGAAATCATGTGTCAGTGAGAAATTTGCTAAACAATTTGTAGCAGGTTCCATGATACTCAGAGGGTAGGAGTTTGTCCAGACTGGAAGTTTCATTCCCTTATGGGTGAATAAGATAATTGAGGCTTCATTTTACCAACTTGTGGACTGGTGATAGGCATTAGATTGTCTTAGTACAAAGATCTGTTGTTACAAAGAATGGTACACGGTATGATAGGACCTAATATAGCATTGGGATTAAGAATATGAACTTTGGTACAGACAGACCTAGATTTAAATCCCAGCTCCAACCTGTACTACCCTGGAGAGTCTTGTAGAAGTCATTCAACCTCATGATCTTTAGTTTCCTTACCTATCAAATGACAATAAAAATATTCCTCTGACTTATAAACTTGTAAAAATAGCATGGTTGTCTAAAACACCAGTATCACATAGTTCACAATGTGAACATTCAATAAGGTAATAATGTTTTCCCTTATTAAAAGATATAATCAGGAAGGTAAGCTTAAATCAAAATATCCCAAGGTAAGATCCTGAAATGGATGTCTAATAAGATTTTAGGATAAACTAGGGAAAAAGGTCTAGAGAATGACCTTTCTTGGAAGTTTCTCAAAATAATGTTGGTCCTCATTCTCCATGTTGGCTTATGTTGTCCTTCCACTCAGACTGGAACTAAGTAATCAATGGCAACATCTTCCAAACCTGGAAGTGTACCCAAAGAAACACTGTCCCTCATGAAGAAACAGGAAAGTCTTTTTTTGCTCCTGTTCTTAAGTGCAGTGTATTGAAGCACGGATGCTTCAGTTAAACATCGGTTCATAGGTATGATATTAATGAAATTTAACAGGGAGGACAGGCTGCAGGGGAATCAAATCTGCTTCATTTCCTCCTTGCCATTTGCTATGGACCGCATTTGTCTGTTTCTTCTTTACCTGTGCTTTTACTGTGGTAAAAATAAAGAACTGGAGACATGGAAATTGTTACTTTCTTAGAATTAGCCAGATGGAAAAGTGAGGTCGTGATGGCCTACAAGGAGAAATACCACCTGCAAACACCTGGGCCACTTGAATAATCATGGAAACATTTCTTTGAGTCCAGAGCAGTCCTTGCTTAAGGATTTTGATGCCTGATTCATTTTATTCAAGAGTCTGGTCCAGAAAAATGTGAAGTATTTGATTTAAAAATTCAGTCTGGCCACGTTGTATTAACCTATAGAATACGTAGCTTACCTAAGTTGGGGGGGGGGAAGGCCTCTAAACCAAAACACCTTATAGAGATCTGGAGAATGTAGAGAATACCTTTAAAAATAAAAGCATGCCACAGAGGTTTGAAAAGTGGTGATAATTTCGTGATATCACAGTACAAATGTCCAAATTAATAGGCTAATCAATGATGTGAATACTATCTTCAAAGAATCAGATTAGGTTGGAGTGTGGTAACCCAAAGAGCATGCTTAGAAGAAGTATAAGACTTGAACTTTGTACCTAATTGGGGATATAATAATGGATATGATAATATAATGATTTTAATAACAGGTACACTCATAGGTGTGGACATTGTATATTTTGGCATATTTTCTACATAGTCTTTGAAAATGTGTGTATGTTTCGTATCTTTTGTAACATCTTTTCTCGTACCAGCTTTATTTGAGCCTCTCTTTGGAATTCGATGCCAGCCAACTTTCTATGTCCCTGGTTCTCTGGATCACCTTGTCAAGATAATCATGTTTATCAGAAGTTCTAAATCCTTCTGTGCTCAGGACTACTTGGGTGTCTTCATAATATTTGGGAGATGCCCTTCCAATTGTCAGAGCTGTTTCTGGCCACTTCTTTCTGTCAAACAGTGTTTACACATCTACAGAGGATCTCTAAGAACTGACCTACTGCTTCTTTCATGTCAAGAGATTGCCAATTATCCAACCAGTGCTATTTATTATCCAACCAGTGCTTTTTATTTAGCCACAACTCTTGCTTCCCTGGCCCACTGATAGCATCTTCCATCATGAAAATTTTCCATATTGAGTTGGGAAGGTCAGTGACCCAAGTATGACAAAGGAAAGCAAAATGAATTAGAGAGCTACAAAATGTAGTATAAATTTTTCCCTCAAATCGCATACACCAGAAGTTCTCAAACTTTACCACGCATCAACATCACAGGGACAACCCTTTGAGAATGACTGCCACATGTGAATCAAAATCATTTCCAAATAACATGCAATCCAAACAAAAGACCCCCCTCATTTTGCTCTGTGACAAGGAGTTCTTAACCTAGAAGTTCTTGGAGACACTTTGATAAGATTCTAGGTATTTGTGGTACTGTACAAATTATATATTATATTACGTTGGCATGGGTGCAGTTACCACTGGATGCTTGAGAAAGCCCACTGCGCTCCACAGATACTCCAGGGATTCATTTTCTCAAACAGCTTCTACAAGTCCCACTGAGGCCATGCACAGACAGTCAAGCCAGCACACTGGAGGAGGCACTGATATTAGAATGTAGCAGAATAAGGTCTACAGAGCCTACGTGTATAGAGCCAATGTGTAATTCTCCTGTTCTTTTTATGGTAAATAGAACAATTTTACTACCACTACACTGACCTTTGTAATCAATTACTCCATTCTTCTATGGTTACCCACTGACTTTTACTAAGATGTAGATCTACCAACCAGTCAGCCAGAAAGTTTAGATGGAGCACCAGTTATAGGCCTAGTATGGTGTTGGTTCAATGAGGAACCCCAGAAATTGCAGAGTCCCTGCTTGCAGATAATTCTGGGTGAAGATACTGACATATATTACTTTTAAGCCCCATGAGAATAAAACCTTGCTTTTCTTACCTCAAATCCTGTCTTGTGGGCCTAGAAGAGCCCCTAGTAAATCAGAGGAGCACAACCAATCATTAAGTGAGTGCATCTAAGACCTCAGGGGTTTATACTGTAAATATCATAATGACATTGCCAGGTAAACAAAATGTTCACAGTGGCTGATTGGACAAAGCTCTTACACCTGGAGAGTACTGCCGAATAAAGGAAATAAGGGACCCAACTAATAATGCATATGAATAATCAGTAAACTTGCCTCAATAGGTAAAACAAATTGATGCTTAAATATGAAACAGTTCCAAACCTTTCTTAAACCAGATGTCTGGCATAGCTAAGAACTCAGGTAAAAGGCTGTGGACTAGAAAGATCACCTCTCCACTGCATTCTTTTCTATAGCAAGTGATAATGTTGATGGCAAAAGATTCAGGTAACAAAAAAGCATGCTGCCCAACCATATATTCACACTTCCTTCAATAAGTATGAAGCCAGCAAGCCCTTACCTAGATTTCAAGCTGATGAATCATCTGTCTAGTTTCAGTAAACCCCAAGGGATTGCTCAGCTTTGTAAAGCTGAAACTGTGTCAGCCTCTGGATTCATTTAAACAGGACAACATGCTAAAAGGAGGCAGGTTATGAGGTTTCCTGAGGCATCCCTGGTTTCTAAGTGCATTAAGTTCTCCCTCATTGCACCAAAAAAAAAAAAAAAAAAAAAGAAAAAGAAAAAGAAAAAAAAAAGCTTTTTAACTAAACAAAACCTGGAGAAAGTTCTTTTTAAATCATGTATGGATGCTGACTCTATCAAATCCCTAAACAGAAGTATTAATGATGTCCTATGTGAGGCCACTCATTTATCCAAACTGACATCCTTCCTATTCCATGATCTTCATGGAAGCACACACATAGCCTTATATACATCAGAAGAAACAAAAATTCCTCCTTCTTGGGAAACCCCTGTCTTGAGAGTTCTTGGCTCTTGAGCATGCACAGGGTCGGGCATACAAATGGTGCAGTGACTCTTGTAGAAGTCACATTTGTCCCTGAGACTTCAGTCACCTGGACACCGCATGCCTCATCGCCTGCAGCAGCTCGATCCTGACAGTGTAGAATGAATTTAGAAATCTCATTTGAGGAGCAAAATTTGACTTGAGAGTTTAAACAACACAATATATCTAATGCTGAAATAACCCTTTTTTTTTTTTTTTTTTGCAATTTTTGCTGACAGTAGAATCAATCTTTCTTTCTCGTTCTTGCTATTGGGCTGTTATAATAATTTTGGTTTAGTTTGGATTTTGTCATGGAAAAGGAAGATGACAGGACTCAGTAAACTAGTACATCAGTGAGCTCCATATCTCCATTTTTACACACAGAAAATTTCTGCTTCTTTTGCTATGCTAACACACTTACACATAATTCCTGGAATCCCTACTACATTCATATCCACTGCTCTCAGACACACACTCACAAGGCACCAAAACACAAAATCTCTGCATGTCAAAATCAAGCCAGGCTGAAGATGTAGATAGGTGGATATGGCACCAGGTGGAAGTGTAATCAGTAATAAGAAATACATCGAACCCCATAATGAAAAGAAATCCCCCAAATTGTTCAGGATTCCCCCTCCCCCTTCCATTCACTGATTTATTAACCCTGAACAAAGATGTAATTGCAGGGTCTCAGAAACAACTTTTTTCATTTTTTTTTTTTCATTTTTGGCATTTGTTTTGTTTGGCTTTGAATTTCTTAATATCTAGTCATACCATTCATTGCCTGTTTTCTTCACTCAGTTGCCCATCTTCCCCTCCCCCAAGAAATGAAAGAAGCATTAGCTTCTGAGTCTTAAGGATGAGACCTCTGCATTTTCTTTGCTTGTTTAGGGCAAGAAATGAAGTGCTGCCTCTTTAATTGGCAGAAGCATGCAGGAGGAGCATACCTTTAATTTAGTGTTGGGATACCTCACTTGCACCCTGGCTGTTGTCTTATTGGAGACGGCAGCCTGCCTGAGATCCTCTAGCACTGAAATAATATCATCCAGCACGCATTTCTTATCCTGATTTTTCAACACACACAGATGGGAAAAAGTATAATTATAGCCCTTGTGGTTCACCTTCATTTCCAGCACGGCTCGGTGGGTCTGCAGGATCCCCTCAGCCTGGAGCAAAATATTGTCCCCGGGTGGGGAGAGGAGGATCACCCTGCCATACCTCCCAGGGGTGTGTAAGTCCGAATAGAGCTGGCTTTTGGACTGGTCCAGGGGGAAAAGGCTGCTGGCCAGGCTGCGCTCGATCTTGGCCAGGCTGTGGCTGGGAGCGACCAGGCGCTCCAGGTCGCCCTCGGGCTGGAAGCGGTTGAGCGCGCTGAGGCCGAAGGTGATGGTCAGGACTGCGGGCACGGTGAGGAAGAAGACCGGGTGCCGGCTCACGCACAAGCCCAGCCTGTGGCAGAACGACTGGAGCCCTCTGCGAAGCAGCTGCCGCAGCATCCTCCACCAGATCCAGCTCGCAGGCGCTCCCGGCCGTCTTAAAAAGCACATGTGACATGTGTAAGCGCCGGGCTTCCCCTCACTCCCCCATCCCACCCCCTCCCGGCCAGCCCCCTTCCCCACACCGCCGCGTCCCCGCCCCCGCCGCTTCACCCCCAGCCACTCCACCAGGTCTTTCCCGGCCCCACCTCCATGCGCTCTTACTACTCTTTCAAACACTGCAGCAAGTTGCAGCAAGGCGGGCAAATATCGACAGCGCGCGTGGGGGCCCGCGGCGGGCGCTGCGGGGGCACCGCGGGGCCCACCCCTCCCGGGCCTCCCCGGGCCCTCGCCGCCTCCAGCGCCCCTCTCACCGCATGAGCAGCGTTCCCGCGGTCTAGCCCTTCATCTCGGTGCTGCAGTCCCCCGGCCTCCCTCGCTGGAGGTGGTTCCGTGCGGAGCGTCCCACAGATGTGGATTTCCTCTCTGTCCTGATGGGGTTCGGTGCCTAACTGGAACCATGTGCCTCGGTGTTGTAAGAAGCAGACATGTGCCCCATAAGGGGCGGGGGGGGGGCGGGGAGGAGAGAGACTAGAAGGGAGGGAGCTGTTGGGGGGGCAGCTAAGCTTTTCTTTTTTTAAGATGCTGGCAGTTATTTTTAGAGTTTTGTTTTCCCTCTTCCCTCCTTGCTGGAGTGAATGGAAGAGGAAACGGGTGAAGGTGCTGCTGGCCCATTGGAGCACTGGCAATTAGAGCCTGAGGGGAGGGGGGCGTGGAGGGAGGGAGCTCGAGGGCTCCTGGAGGCAAGCGGCGTTTTTGACCCTCCAGTTTCCCTGTGCCCTCGAATTCTGTTTTTCTGCTGAAGAAAAGGGAGCAGAGAGGATGATGCTGCATTTTTAACATACCACAAAGCATGCAAGGGATTTCCTTGCAACACCTTCCACGCTGTCATTCCACAGACTAGAAGGCTGCAGCCCAGGGCTGCCAGAGACCCCATCTGTTGGTGGTGCGTTAGGAATTTGGGAACCTTTCCTAGCTGTGGTGATTGGAGGTGAGGCATTTGCCAATAGCAGTCGCCTATGGCTTGGGGTGTGTGTGTGTGTGTGTGTGTGTGTGTATCCCTCGCGTTGCTAGTGAAGATCCACAGGCAATGTGTGGTTTTCCATAAAATATTACATTCACTTTCTGTGCTTTTGAAGTTTAGACAAAAAGTTCTTAAAGCTGGTTTCAGTTCCCTTCCCCCATTCTCCCTTCCATCAGGTTTACTCTGATAGGAAGTGGACCAAGAGGTTATCTAATTTTCTCTTGTGAGTGGAATTCCAGAAACAAACATTTTGGGACACCCATCACACAGTTTTTGCCTGAATAAAGAGGACTAGTAGGCTAGGGGGAAACACATTGGAGTCATTTGATGTGTAAAACAGTGAAGTCTACTTCACCACAGAGGAAAGAAAACTGCCACCAGCTACAATTCATCCCTCAGTATCTACCACTGCAAAGGTGAGAAACTCTCATCAGCAGATCCCATGATCTTCAAAAGCTTTAATATTAATAAATGTGTGTGTGTGTTTTATTTTTTACTGATGGGACCTTTCACAATGCCCAATGTTCTGAAAGGATATGAAGAAGTCTTGAAGACAAGTTCTAAATTTGGTTGTGAACTGTAGACCTGCCTTCCAAAGCTTCTGTTCTTTTTGCATTGACTTCATAGAGAAGATTGAGTTTCAAGAGATGATTCATTCACACTTTCTTAATCATAGTGAAAGGACCTGTTCTTCATCACATACTTAGAGACGTGCCCATCTATGCATACAAACAAGCTGAAGTACTCATCCTCTTAATAGACGCCTTTTATTTTTGCTAGTGGAATAAATTTTTCAGTTAGGACACCAGTGAGACTGCAGACAGCTCAAAAACAGGGGCAACATTTAAGGGTAATAGTTTAAATGTAGTATTATATGTAAGATTAAGGAAAAATTCCAGTCTTTTAAACTGAAAGTGACCTTGGAGACCGTTGAGTTTGCATCCCCACTGTGGGCAAGAATGGCTTCTATAATACTCCTGATGGCTCTCCACCCAATCCATGCTGCTATATATCATTTCTATTCTATTCTATTCTATTCTATTCTATTCTATTCTATTCTATTCTATTCTATTCCGTTCTACTCTATTTATTCGATGCTTTTTTTTTTAAGATTTTATTTATTTGAGAGAGAGAGAGAGAACATGAGTAGGGGGAGAGGCAGAAGGAGAGGGAGAAGCAGACTCCCCACTGGCCAGGGAGTCTGACAACATGGGGCTCAATCCCAGGACCCTGAGATCATGACCTGAGGTGAAGGCAGATGCTTAACTGACTGGCTCACCGAGGTACCCCTCAATGTTTTTATATCAGTGTGAACACATGGATATTTATACATATTTCTATTGTGTTTAGGTTATAATTCAATACCACTTCAATTACTTTATTGCTCAAATTGTTCCAACTCTGTTCATTGGCTTCTGTCTCCCTTTGATATATCCCATTTATTATTGAGTCTTTAAAAAAAAAAAAAAGTATTCCATACTTTCTTGCTCTGTAATATATTCCAGGCTTGTCTTGTATCTTTCCTGCCCCAGTATCAGCCATTTCTCTAAGAAGCTCTGGTTTGTTTTATTAGACAATGGTATTAGAAGTAAAAATCTGGTGCTAAATGTGCTACTTGCTGTTGTGGTGCTATCACTTCTAAGCCTTCTCAACTGATAACAAGGAAATACACGGTTGTACACATCTTCCTTAACTTATGCTGGGATTATGTCTTAATAAACCTGCAGTAAGTTGAAAATATTGAAAGTTCAAAATGTATTTAATACCCCTACCTACCAAAATTATAGCTTAGTCTAGTCTGCCTTACCATGTTGAGAACACTTACATGGCCTACAGTTGGGCAAAATCATTTAGCATAAAGCCTATTATCATTATTTTTTTAAGACAGAGTGAGTGCACATGTGTACGGAGGATAGGGGCACAGAATGAGGGGGTGAGAGAGAATCTTAAGCAGGCTCTATATGGAGCCTGACCACAGGGCTTGATCTCAGAACCCCGAGGTCATGACCCGAGCTGAAGTCAAGAGTCAGGCTCTCAGCTGACTGAGCTACGCAGGCACCCAAACATAAAGCTTATTTTATAATACAATGTCGAATATCTCATGTAAATTGATTGACTATGGTACTGAAAGTGAACAACAGAATGTAAGTACATTGGTTGTTTATCCTGCTGATTGCACGGCTGATTGGGAGCTGTGGCTCACAGCCATTGCCCAGCATCATCAGAGATTGTCTTACTGCATGTGGCTAGCAAAATTCAAAGTGTGGTGTCTACAGGATCATGAAGTTGAAAAATCATACGTTGAGCCATTGTAAATTGGGGACTGTCTGTATACCAATCTGTGCATGTGTGTATCTATGAATAGTTCTCTATGGCTCTCTAGATCTACAATAAGCTAACAAGGGTTTATACTTATGTCCTCTGACTCTAATCTGTTGCCATGTGGATCACTGAAGCCTCTTTCCCATGCTTGCCTGTAACCCCCACTTCAATAGTGACAAACGGGCATAGTAGGTGATTTTTAAATTGCTTTTCTATAACGAAAACATATTTTTATTGGAAAAAAATAAGGGATAAAAGGAAAACATGGTTCCTTAATTTTGATACTGTAAAAAGCTAATGTCAAATACTATCATAGCTTCATTAGAAAGAAGAAGTATATGCTCAGAAGAAGAGAAATGTTAGCAATATTTCAGATTAACCTATAGGAAGTTAATTTGCACTAAAATAACCCTAGATATCAATCACATGATAATTCTAGCAAACCTCATTTAAAATCAAGCTTACTATAAACCTGAAAGCAGTACATTTAGATGCCAATCAGTAACAATACCAAAAAAATCTGTGCTGTTCAGTACATATAGGTAGTGTCTTTTCTGATATATGTTGGTCAGTATCAGTTTTCAAGACTTGGAACCAAGTTGGACTCAATCCAGTTGGTCTTTTGTAGGATAGGACACCAGAAGAACATGAATTTGCACAGAATGGCCGAGTTCTAGGCCAGTTTCACAAGTCACTTGGGCAAGACTCCTGACTCTCTGATCCTGTTTCCTTATTTATGAACTTGGATTATGTTCTTTTTTTTTTTTTTAAGATTTTATTTATTTATTTGACAGAGAGAGAAATCACAAGTAGACAGAGGCAGGCAGAGGGAGAGGGGGAAGCAGGCTCCCCTCTGAGCAGGAAGCCCAATGAGGGGCTCGATCCTAGGACCCCAAAATCATGACCTGAGCTGAAGGCGGAGGCTTAATCCACTGAGCCACCCAGGCGCCCCTTGGATTATGTTCTTTACCCACTTTTCAATTCATTCATATCCCCATTCACCAAAACACTGTAATTCTTGTTGTATAACTAATACTGTAATGCTAGTGATTGCAACAAATAAACCTCTAAATGTTAGCAGTATAACACAATGCAAGTTTCTTTCTCGTTCAAGGGAAATAGTTCATTAAGGATCTTCCTGCTTAGAGGGAAAAGGTAGACCTCGGTTCCACAAGTCATTCATCCTCCTTTAACTCCTGGCTTCCAAGGACATTCCTGAGGTCATTTCGTAGCTAGTCAGCTGCAAGAGGGAACCAGCCTAGAGGAGCCCACTGGGGAGGTGTTATTGGCTCAGTGTGGAATAGCATACATCACTTCCTCTTGCATCCTAAGATTAGATTTTCATTGCAACAGAGGTTGAATTATGCAGTTTCATACAGGACTCATTCTACCACAGCCATCTCAAGCAATGCTGGCTTTGGGGCTTCAAGAAAATGTTCTTTGAGCTTCTTCTGTGGTAGCTTTAAGGAGTTTGCGTTGCACCACCATCTTTGTCAAGCTTATTGTATCTAGGAAGGACACATTCTTTTTTATTTTTTAAAGACTTTATTATTTATTTGACAGAAAGACAATGAGAGAGGGAACACAAGCAGGGGGAGTGGGAGAGGGAGAAGCAGGCCTCCCGCTAAGCAGGGAGTCCAATAAAGGGCTCGATCCCAGGAGAGTTGTAAAGGCAATTTTGGTCTTCATCATTTTGGATGTTCCTGGCTGCAACTGGTTTAAACAGTAAGGACATTTCTTATCTAACACAACACAGTGTTCGGAAGAATGGTAGTTATAGAGCTTGTGAATTTAGAGGTTCAGGGGTGTCATTAAGAACCTAAGTCCTCTTCCTCATTCTGCTTTGCTTATCCCCAGAGCATGAGCTTTGTGCTTGTTCTTGCCCACGGACCACACAACAAGCAAAATGAGATCCTGGGGAAGAAGCAGCTGCCTCTTTCTGTGCATCTCTTCTAAGAGTGAAGAAGCCTTCCCCAGAAGACCCCCCAACGGATTTCCTCTTAAGTCTTATTCCTCATGCCCATGTCTAAATCAATCACTGGTGAGAGGAATGGTAACACAGTAATTGGCTTAGA